GAAAAAAAATCAAGGACCCCTCGAAACGGAGTTTCGTCGGTGTGAGGGTGTTAGTGGGGGGGTGTACTTAGGCTGTGAACAAACAAATATTTTTTTTTTCTTCGTATGTCTTCGTTTGGGGGTCTTCTCTAGAAAGGTGTTTCAAAAGGGGCGATTGGGGGATTGGTTGGTTGGGGTCCTTGGGGGTGGCGCTGGGGTGTTGTGGGGGGCGGTAGGGCGGGTTACTATGTGGTTCAAAGCATGAACAACATCAGACCATGGGGATGGCAACGAACAGGCAACAATAAACAACATATAAAACAAGTATTACATGGTTAGTGCGTTGGATCGTGCAAAGCATGAACAACATCAGACCATGCATGAAATGTACTGCAAATGAGGTTCGACAGGTGTATTAACAACAATATCACAGCAACACACAATGCCACACAGCAATGTCACCTACCATACATGAGCATGTTGAGCTGTGTCGCGAGAGAGATTTTCATAAGCACATGGAAAGGGAGATGAGTGAATGAAGATAAAAAAAACAACTACCACGGCAAGGCCAACGTGTGGCAATGTGCCAAAAATAGCAAGTGTCACAGGTACAGATACCATGACAACTCCACCTCGAAATGCATCCACGAAATGAAACAACTGCGTGACTAAGCCCATATGGCCAAAAACCTGCTAACAATACAAAACCCAGATAAAATACAACATACCCACCAGACCTGCACCAAGTGGTAGGTTCGTGGCATATCAGCTACAGCCAAGTAAAGACAAAACAAATCCCCTAAAGACTAGAGTGCCAACGTCACAACGTGAGATAAAATAACAAAAGACATAAAAAAAATGTGACGTCATCTAACTCTACCAACCTACTCCACGTGGACAAAGACCTGCTGACAGTGCAAAACTAGGATAAAATACAACACACCTACAACATACCTACGCCACGTCGCCACCTACAATGGACAGGGTCGTGGCATGTCAGCTACAGATAAAATAAAATAAAATACATGGCAGATCTAACTCCTCCCATTGCGCCTCCGACCTGTCCCGTGATGGGGTGTGCCTGATTTGGTCACTGGAGGTGCACTCTGTCCCCGCCCATGTGTCGCTCTCTCTCCACGCGGGGTCTCGATGCGTGGATCTCCTATTGTGGTGGCCGCAGCTGCAGCAGTCGCTGCTCTCCTGGCTCTGTCCCTCTGCACAGTGACGTCGATGGGCTCTGTCTTCGTGTCCACGTCGTCCCCGTGGGCCTCCGTCTCGGCCAGCCTATCACGCTCTCGAACCAACTCGTCGAAACGCCGTTGGTCGGCTGCAATCTGAGCATCTAGTCCGCTTATAGATGGGTGACGTCGCGCCCCTGCTGGCATATATAAGTCGCCCTCCTCGCCCGACGTGTAAGGCAATCCTCGCCGTATATCCTCTACAACACCTGGGGCCGGGAACACCCGCCTCCTCGTCTGTCTATCCGACAGTCCCAAGATACGTGCTGCCGTATGCACACTGGGTCGTCCCACGTCTGCGGCGCCCGCGAACCCTGCGACCCCCACATCCGGCCCCGCTATCTCTCCTTGTGCAAAAAACCCCTCAACAAAAAAATTCCCAGGAAAAATGAAAATTGAAAAAACATTCCGTAAAAAAAAAATCCTTCATATTTATAAATTATCATTCCAATGTTCATCCAATTCTAAAATTTTTAATTTAATTTGACAAGTTCCCGTCTAAATATGAGTTTTCCCTTCCAACTACATCTATTTATTCAAAATGGAATGAAAGGCTGGATGAGTTTATAAAATGTTTTAATTAGATTTTCATTCTACTACAACAAATATCTTTTAATTTAGATTGGATTTACCTATTTATGACTGGAAATCCTTACCTAGAATGATAGTCCAATTAAAATATTTCATGAACTCATCCAGACTTCCAGTCCATCTCCAGCATACAGTTAAAATAAGAAGGGATACCCCATTCTTGGAAAGAAAGTTTTCAAGTAAGACGAAAAATTTTAAAATTGGAATGACATTTTTTCAGATGGAATGAAAATTTAAAATTTAGAAAGTAATTTTACTCTGGAATGATTATTTTATTCTGGGGAAATTTTTTGTTGCTCTTCCCTGTCGTAATCCCTCCTCAGTCGACCCGTGACTCATCTGCAGGACGACCACCAGCCGCCTGATGCCCCTCGACTGTCGGATGCCATTGTACTCACTGCTCTGCCTGATGCAACTGCCGACAGCGGATGTGGTGGGTGCATCTCTCTCTCTCTCCCTCTCTCTCTCAGCTGCAGGTTGTCTATCAGAGGCCTCATCCCCGCTGACATCACTCCATGATGACCCTGACCATCGAGGGCTCTGGGGCACTCACCCCGGAGGTGACGCGAAACCATGTGGCAGTCGGCGGGGGTCGCTCCTCCGACCAGTATGATCATAGGGGTCCTCCATCCCCGCGCGCTCCAACTGCTTTGGATCGAGAGGTGGTGGGGTGAACTCCCCCAGCCTCTCGTCCAACCGGCGACCTCTCTCACCCTCGTCATCGTGAAAAGGTAGCGGAGTCCTCACAACCAATGCGAGGGACATGTCTCCCGCTACGTCCTATGTCGAGCACAACCATGCCTCGTCGTCAACGCCGACAACACCCTCCATGACAGGACTGTGTCCTGCACCACTCTCGCTGCCCTGACGCCAGTGTGCAACCCTGACTCCTCCTCCATAACCGCATCCCCCCCCTGCAAAGTACCGTGGCCTCCAGGTGTACCCCCCTCCATGTCCCCCGCGCAAAGGCCAACGATCACTTTGTTGACGAACCCTCCGACGTTTGCGGCCTCTCCATCATCCCCGGCGTCTGAGCTATCATCTCGTACATCCTGATCGTCATCATCTCCAACAGGCTGACCATCACTGCCACCCTCTCTCTCCGGTGCGTGCTTCCCCTCCACGCCACGATCGCTCACCCCCGTCGGCACACCAACGGGCGGTCCACCACTCACCATCTGTAAACCACCACTGGCCCATACTGCACCCCTCAGCCCCCTGCCCTGCCAATCTTCTCGATCGACGAAGCTCCCGTGCCCTCGCAAACGAGTGGTGGCTAGTATCGAACCGTGCGTCCGTCAGATGCTCCTCGTCTCGCCCTTGTCCTTGCCGCTGGAGTCTTCACCGTGATGACTGACGTCCGGGGTGCAAGCCCGTCCGATCCTGCACCATATGTAAAATACACCTGCTCCGCTGTCCTATCGCCGCCCGGCGCAAGGTCCTCCGGTTTCGTCCAGTCACACTCCCCGACCTGCACACCCTCAGCGCCGACGTCCTGTGGGGGAGGAGGCACATGGTCATAAGGTAGCAATGTGGCTGCCCTCTCCCAAAACACCTCAGACACCGGTCGTGGAGGGGCGGTGCCATCGTGTGAGAACACGTCGATCTGCTTCCTCAGCTCCGCATCGCTGACGGTCCCAGTCGGTCTGGCCCCACGCCTTTGGCTCCGGTTCGGCGTCCTCCTCGTCCTCGCCCGAGGCGGAAGGAGGTCTCTGCTCCTCTCTCTCTCTGTCCATGATCCAAGGCAAAACATACCCACCGCTATGCTGCCTGCACAAAGCCAGTTTGAGATTAATCGTAATCTCAACCAGCTGTGCGAGCTTGGCAAAACCAAGCTTGTTGCGCTTCGTCGTCTGAATGCGCTCATGCTCCGCCCAATTCCTCTCCGCAGGAGAGGCGGACGTCCACATGTGCATCACTCGGATGGCGATGGCACGCAACTCTCGGTGGCCTGCGCCGTGGGCGAGCCACCATGCCGCACAGCGAGCCGTCTCGTCGCCTCCGTCGCAATCCTGGGCCTCGGCATCGGACAATGACCGATCGCCCCAGTCGCCTCTCCGGGCGTGGAAATGCCGAATCTGCGTGCGCACGACGAGGTAATCTCTGCCTGTCGGATCTCCACCCGTCTGCGCAAGCAGAAATCAATCACACTCTCGTACGACCAGGGCGTCCTCCGGTGTCGTGTGGAGAGACTCAAAATATCTCAAAGAGCGTCGGCGGGGGTTGAGGAGATGGGCGGCGGCGTGGGCAGGCTCCAATAGATGCATCAGACGCATCTCAACCTCTTGGACGCATGGAGCCAGAAACTCTACCGGGACCGGCGTCACCTCATTAGCTGAACAAGATGCTCACTCCACTCGTAGACAATGGACATTATCATCCCTCCTCTGTCCATCCGCCTCAGAAGCTGATGGACAGGCTCCATCACAAGGATGGCAAACTCCACCTGGCGCCAAAACTGGCCATCACGAATCTGGAGGCGCACCCACCGAACCTGTGCAATGAGCCTCCGCTCCCAGGGAATGCTAGCCCACGCGTTGTCGTGCAACATAGACTCCAACGTGTCACGTCTCCCGGCCAGACAGGTCACCATAAAAAAAAACGATGCAAAATGTGTCTCGACTGGCTGAACAAGTGAGACGCAAGGGCTCTTCCTCTTGTAGAGGGCGAGGGCCGCTCCGCGCGATTTGATGAATCGCACCAAAGATCGAGGGCGGAGGATGGTGTCTCTCACCCAACCACATGTGTCCCAATATCTGACAACATCAAGTTGCAGACATGGGTCGAGCAGGGGAGCCACGTGATGCGCCTGACATCCGGGTCGGGGTCCTGAGCGAGGAGTTTGGACGCCGCAACATAGTTGCTGGCGGAGTCCGTGCAAAATGCGATCACATCCTTCGCAGGGAAGGATGTGATGATAGCCCTCCACCCGCGATACACAATGGCACCAGTCTCGGGGACAGAACCATCACGGAAGATGGTGGCATAAAGTAGTGCGCCATTGGCGTCGGCTGCAAGGAAGTTCACGATGGGCCGTGAATGGCGAGACTTCCTACCGTCCGACAACATGGTCGCGCCTCTGTGGGCGAAAGACTCTCGAACCTCTTGAAGCAAGGTGGCCAACTTCACCCTCTGCGAAGGAAGCCCGCGACCGCCGATTTCCCCAAACGAGGGAAATCGCATCCTCACACCTCGAGGCATCTCTTCGGTTGCCTTCCCGACCTCCCTCCAAGACGGTCTCCTAAAGGCATTGAACGCAATGCCGGCATCATACACCCACTGCAGAAACTTGTCGTTGAAATGCGAATGTTTCTCCTTATCATACACATCGTCAATCCGGGTCTGCCGGACCCTCTTCTCCGTCTGAGGCGGACGGTCATCCCTGTCCACCGCCTTTCTCTTCCCCTTGTCCTTCGCCCCTGCCCCGCGTGAAGTCAACACCACCTCCTCGCCCTGCAAATCCACACCGTCTGACAAACCGCCCCCCTCCCGCTCCTCAGCCTCGTCTAGGACGTCTTGCACCTCGTCACGGGGTGCAACAGACGACGAGACTCGTGGGAGGGAATGCCCCACAACTGATTGTGCTTCCCTGATCCCCTTGTCCTCCATGTACTGCAAAAGGGATGCCACGCCCTCAATTGCGAAAACGTATTTTTTGTCGTTCCATACGTCCACAAGAACGTCCATCGTTGCTGCGCGACACTTCTTTTGCTGAGTGAAGAGGCGCGTTGCCTTCGATACATTCCCCTGCCAAATGTGTTTGCAGAGGTTGCACCACAACTTGCGGTCCCGGTGCATCTTATCCCACGTTCCAACCTTCTGCACCTGCATCACGGCCTCCACACGCAGAGACCCTTCTCAAGCTCGTCATGTCAGCATCTGAAACGGGGATGAATTACTCCCACCAGACCTGCTCGCCCCCTAAGTCATTGTTGCGGATCCTGAAACAGGCCCGCCTTCCTGCCGGTCCGGTGAACGTGGCTAGCGTTCACGGATCCGTCCTGTGTTGCCAACCCCGTGCCCACTCGCGGTCGAAAAGTCAACTGCACAGCTTGGATCGCGGCCGCGCGGTCAACAAAGCAGCCGCGCGGTCGGGATCCCCGCCCCGAGCCTGCGGCGTCCGACGCCCGCTTGTGCGATTGCAGTTGCTGCCATCAACAAACTTTCTCTCTCTCTCTCTCTCTCTCTCTCTCTCTCTCTCTCTCTCTCTCTCTCTCTCTCTCTCTCTCTC